AAAATTCCATGAGTGTATTTTCTTCGAAAGTTCATTAGAATTACGAAAAAGTAAACCATAAAATCACAACAACCTTGGATGGGGGCTGGTGCTGTAGGTATCCACCCCGACAACTGCGATCAGTATGGTTGGCTTCTTTAACATGAAGATATTAAAAAGAACTGTGCATTTACTCCTGTTTTAGTGATACTACGTAGGCTATTTGAGTGCTAATTTACTACTTGTGTCTCCGCTGCAATTCGTTCGGTCGCACACTGTGCCCACCTTTGCCTTCCCTCATTGAGCTTGATGCTAGCTATTCACAACATGACTATACATCGCATAAGGAGGAAGTATGTATTTCCAAAAACGACCTTGCCCTCCTTTGCTAGGGGTCATTTTATCAGTAATTGAAGCTAAATGTGAACTATACATAATGCCTTTTCTCTCATCAAGCTTAACTCGAGTGACCAAAAATTACGGATCTAGACACCAAAATTTCTGTATAGAAACGTTATCACCGGAACCCAAACATGTGTTGGCTTTCTCTACTATATTCGGCCTTAGCCAACGTAATATCTTACCTCTCAACAGTTTTTCTAGACCGATAATCAATAGTAGGCCCGCCAACTTCTTCAATTAATTTATTTCACTCATGTAGGTTTACAGTTTAATTGCGATGCCTTTGATAGCAATTGTTTGAGGACTCGTGTCTGTGTCGACCGGCTTTTGACTACGCTAATAACAGAAGCATACTGTTTTTGTCTCAAGATACTTTATCCGTCCGGACCTCTCACTTCAATTCTGTCCGTAGGTATCATAACCATAGTATGTCAAGGCTACACACTAAAAAATGTTCGTTTAGTTCACGCACGTACTATAATCCGTTTATATCCAGTGATATTCTTTGCGGACTACTATTTACGCCAGAACTACCATCGTTAATACTACCTTATCTAACAAGAAATGTGTTTACCTTATACTCGGTAGGCAGCACAAAATGCATACCAACCATTTAGCACAGTATTAACTCGATAAACAAGTTATTACCTTATCGTTCACTTACACTTCTATTATTATGGAAACGATGGTCTTAAATGCCTGCTTCAGGTAGTTTACAGATAATGAAAATTAACGAATGAATGCGAAGGTTCGCGTTCCAGGTGTTTGCACATTAAAGAAGGCTGGTTGAGCATCAGAATAGTTTGTTTATTCTAAATGTTCAAACTCGTACAGGAGTTCATTGTCAGAGGTAACAGCAGCAAAAAGGGAACATTATAGTAGGCGCAAACTAGTCAATTGTCAGTGACGCAGTCTGGAGATGACTGCGCAGGGCTCTGTACGTCGGCACCAAATCGATAGATCGATTAAGTTCACATCCGCAGACTGGACTTCAATAAACTATCGGCTCGTCTTGTTTCCATCGTTAGTGATTACCTTGACGCCTGCGAAGTTGAACTTGTGGCTAGTTTCTTAGGCGCTAGCTGCAATTTGCCATACTTCGTCACCCGGTCGTACGGCCACCTTATGTTCACATATGCGCGATCCGAGCATGCGTTCAATTTGACCTGTGTAATACTAAGGGCAGTTTAGGCATAGGATGCGATACAGTGCTCCAAATTGCTCCTTAGGCTTTGGCCGGTTTGATTTCCATCAGCTTGCTGCGCATGGTAGCTTTGCGTTTGTGTGCAATTCCAACACCTAGTTCCGCAGCGATGCGCCCTGTAGCGTGCCATATCCCCGGTGCTTCTCTTTGAGTTCCTCGAGGTCGAACACGTAGGCATCGGCTTATAAACGCCTTCGGATATCAATTCCACATAAATTGGTCGTGGGGATATCGGGCCTCGCGTGCCTTTTCCTTCGGCCTACAACAGTGAGTGTGAATCGGGTTGAAGAGTGTTCTCACAGGGCTTCGTTTATGGGCAACCGGATGGTTGTCGCCTTTTTGTTGTTGCTGTACGCGTTTGAAATTTCGCTCCAATAAAGCAACCGTTCCGGTGTTCAACCGGTCTTAACCTTTAATAACCCACATTCCTCTGACATTAGTCTTGCAGATTTAAAAGCCTATTTCCAGTTATTTGCACCTACC